ATACAGTACAGCCCACATTCTTGCAGACACCCCCTGACACCCGGCAAATTCTGTCCTACCTTCATCAGCTCTTTCATTCTAATAGCAAAGCTCTGTTTCATTTTGTTAAGGCTCACCTCCAACTCACCCCTGACGACTTAGAGTTCTTCAAAGCTATCACAGCCTCTTGTAAAATCTGTCAAAAGTCAGATCTTAGGACCAAATATCATAGCTTCCCTTTTCCCACCCACCAGGCCAGTGGCTCCCTTCCAGGAACTGACTGGTAGCTTGATTTTACTCATATGCCCACAGTCAGATGACTTAAATATCCCCTGGTTTTGGTGGACACCATGTCTGGGTGATTGAAGTATTTCCCACCACTAGCAAGAGAGCCCAGACAGTTTCTGATGTTCTTCTCTGAGAAATTATCCTCCGGTTTGGAATTCCAACCTCTCTTCAGCTGGATAATGGCCCAGAGTTTACCTCCAAGATCTCTCAAACTTTACATAAGGCTCTTAACATTCCCTGGCATTTGCATATCCCATACCACCCTCAGTCTTCAGGGAAGGTAGAATGAACTAACCATTCCTTTAAAAATGTTCTTGTTAAGATGTCACAGGAGCTTCACCTTGACTGGGTAAAACTTTTGCCTCTGGCCCTTCTTAGGCTTAGGGCTCTCCCCCAAAAATTCCCTTTCCATCTTGCCCTTTGAACTCATGTATGGGCGGCTGGTTTTAACTCTCAGCCTCTCACCTAAAACCTCTCCCCTTCCTGATCACATGCTTACTACACTGTTATCTCATCTTGGCTCCATATTATGGGATTTTACCAACTACTCATTACCTCAATTCATGCCAATTCATGCCCACCGCCAATTAAAATAGGGGGCCAGGCACTATTCTCTCCGCCAGGCCAACGCCCCTCACCCATTTCCCCTAAATGGCAGGGCCCCTTTAAAGTAATTCTTGTAACTCCCACAGCTGCCAAGCTCGAGGGACTCTCTCATTGGATCCACCTGTCCCACCTTAAACCTTTTACTCTTCCAACTCAAAGTACCCCCACATATACGGTAATTCAAACAGGGCCCTGTTCCCTTAAGTTCCAGAGGACACCAAGATCAGCCACTTTTTCTCCAGTTCCAGAAAAATAAAAGTTTCATCACCGTACTCAAGTCTCCTGTGCCAAAAACTTCATATACTCTCCCTCTTCCTCTTACTACTATCTGCTTTACCAGCTTCTCTATATCTCCAATGTCATACTTAAATATCAAGTTAACCACTCAGCTGATATTACATTAAACATAGAGCTGGAGGTACAAGAACTGCCAAAAGCCCAGGTAGTAAGAAACAATAATGAGTTCGGGGACATTCATATCCCCAAACTCCAAAAACTCACAAAACAGACAACATAACAGGTTTATCACTGACTGCAGCAGTGTCTCCTGGATGCTAAGGTAATACCATGATGCTGAAGAGCACAAGTATCTTAAGATTTGCTTCAGGTAAACATTGAGGGGTCTAATAATTCCCCTTTCTAATAATTTTCCTCCTGCCTCCCCATCATCTTCTATTCCAACACTATACCATTGTAATCACAAGCTTTTAATATGTCTAAAATTTATTTCTTTGAAAACATGTTTGAAAAGAAATAAATTTTAGCCAATTGGACCTATCTAAACAGACCAGATTCACCCAGAATAGGCATCATTTAATTCTTCCCTTATCATTCCTAGTCTTGGGGACGCCTGGGAAATTCCCTCCTCCTCCACCCCCCAAAACCCTCTATCTTCAATCTTGGGACTCTCCTCCCTTAATCACCAGGATCTAAAAATTTTTCCAGACATAATTTTCTGCCTTTCCAGCATCTTGTAATGTCCAAGCTTCCAGCCTGCCAGTTCCAGGGAGCCCAGAAAAAGCACAAAAGTAATCAGCCACCCCAGGATGTGGTCAAGCATCTCAACTCTTCGAAGCCCACAAAATCAGCAGGAGAGACCTTATGATGCCCCATTACCACCCATTAAAGACTCCAAAGTACCCAAATTTTTGCCCTATTCCTACCCTTTAAGGACCCCAAACTCTCAAAATTTTTATAATAAACAAAAGGTTGGAATGTTATTTCAGCCAAACCAACATGGCTGACACTTCTGGGTTCTAGGGCCATGCATTGCAGAAAAGCCCTCAGGCAGAAGTGCCTAATGGCTCCAGAAATCTTAAAGGACCCTGCCTGACCCACGTGCAGCATGGTTGCACCACCTATGTCTGACACAACTGCATGAACACTTGCACACATGCATGAGCTCTGTCATCTGTCTATGATGTCACCAAATCATCCCTCTGTATCATGTGCTAGGCAGCCCTTAAAAGCTGGATGCACCATCTTAATGCTCTCTCTCCGCACACCGGCCTTACCAGGCCTGTACATGTACCCCTTCTAGTAAACTCTGAAGCAGGTTTGTTGTGTGTTCTGTGTTTTCTTTTCACTCACAGGTAATATCAACAATTATGTTCAAAGTCATACAAAAATTCACAATGGAGAGAAATCACATGTATGCAAGCAGTGTGGGAAATGCTTTTTTACTCTTGCAGATATTCAGAGACATACGATCATGCGCCATGGAAATAAACAGTTTGTGTGTAAGATACATGGTAAAGGTTTTCACTGTTCCAGTTCACTTGTGATCCATGAAGGAATTCACACTAGGGGGAAGTTTTATGCATGTAAGCAATATGATAAAGCTTTTACTTATCCTAGTAGCTTTTACCGCCATGAAAAGATACATAATGGAATGAATCCCTAAAATGTAGACAATGTGGGAAAACCTTCACTTAGTTCTGTATCCTTCCACATCATGAAAGGGATCATAGTGGAGAGAAACCTCATTTGTAAACTATGTGGAAAAGCTTTTGTGTGGTCAAGTTCTTTACAAACACATGAATAAATTCATAATGACATTAATGCCTGTGAATGCAAGCTATGTGGGCAAATCTTTACTAATCATGGTCTTTTCATTAGCATTTGAAGGTTCATAGTGCAGAAAACCCTATGTATGTAAGTTATGCAGGAAAGCCTCCATTACTCATAGTTCTCTTCAAGCCATGAAAGAATTCACAGTGGAGACAAACCCTATGTATGTCAGCTGTGTGATAAATCCTTCACTTAAACCATTTCCCTTCAATATCATGGAAGGGTTCACAATGGGGAGAAACTCTGCGTGTGTAAGGTGAGTGGGAAAGCCTTCACTAGTCACGGTTCTCTTCAATGAAAGACTCACAGTAGAGAGAAAACCTACCAAAGAAGGGTATGTAAGAAAGACTTCATAAATCACTTGCAATGCCAAAGAAACATTCTCAACAGAAAGAAACCATAATATGAATGCAAGCTATGTGAAAAATTCTTCACTCATCATCTCAGTTCCTCTCAATCTAAGTGCTACGGAAGCAGAGAAATTGAATGATATGACTACTGATCCTCCTTGAGACAAAGGCTGCATAATCTAAGGCAATATAAAGAAAATCAGTCCCTAATGAACTGACTCCAAGTCATGAGAGACACTTGGTTATCTCTAATGGAGGTACCCATGAATATCAGGGATTTAAGGGCAATCAAGAAGACAAGCATTTTTGAGGCAGTTGGATATGCCAGAGGAAGTGTTTGGTGTTCACTGGGTCCACCAGAGAGTTAATTTTTTAAAAAAGCATAGTTCAGTATGAACTTTGGGACAGGAAGCTTTGCTGAACACTCAGTGTGGCATGATCTACTAGGTTCTTAGGTTTACAAGGTTCTGAGTTCATGATCTTTTTTTGTGTATACGATATTCTGCCTGCATATATACCTGCAGGCCAGAAGAGGACATTGATGAGAATTGAACTCAGGACCTTTGGCAGAGCAGCCAGTGCCCTTAACTGCTGAGACATCTCTCCAGCCCCGAGTTCATGATCGTTTGAAGTTCTGAGGAATATGAATAATTTAGACTAACATGTAAATCATGATCATGTAATGCTACAACACTCAGGAGGAGATGGAGAGGGGAAAACAGAAGATGGGGCCTATTTGAGTCACTTGAATGTTGAAGTAGCAAGATTTGTATGGAGCCAGAGTCTCTAGTGAAATGGGAGAGGGGTGTGCTTGAACACTTTGAAGCATAAACAACAATTTGTCGATGATCAACAATCATCTTTGTAATGAAACATTTTCAGAGAGGATGCCGTGTTATGGATTGGTGTTAGCTCTCAGGCTTAAAATATTGTTGCCTTCTCAGTCCTTGCAAATGTGAATGAAGCAGGCTGTTGTATAAGAACTCAAATGTTTTTCTTCCCTCTGTGGAATACTGCTAGTATATTACTCTAGTTTCCATATGCATTGAATGCTTAGATTCTCTTCTTGGCATGTTCATCTTTTAATGCAAATGGGTAGAATGAAAAGTTTTGAGAAAGTCTGAAAACTTTGAAACAAACTGCCTCATTTCAAATTGCTCAAAAATGGCTGGCATGAGGCTGTCCCTGTTTCGGTGTGTTCTGAGCTAGCCAACCTCTTCTCTGAACACGTGGATTGTCTCCATGGAACACTAACCTTGTAATTCACTTAATAAACTGGTAATTTCATTTCCAAAGTGGGAGGTGCAGAGTGTAGAAAAGCAGCAGGTGGCTGTTGGGCAAAGTCAGAGGCAAATTCTGCACAGATGCAGTTACATCCAAGGTCAGCTGGTTTCCACCAAGAGAAGACTGGGCTGAGAACGACTGCAGCTGGAATGCGGGATTTGGTTCCAGCTTGTCGGGTAGGCATCCCTTATTCTGTCACAAAGGCTCAGTGTATGAATGAAGAGCACCAGTGGGACTTTCCTCATCCGCCCTAGTACTGTCCTAGTAGCTCAGGGAGTCCCGGACTGTTCAACCGCACGGTGTGACACTGACCCCCGAGTAATCATGAGGGCAGCTGAAGCGACCAGTATGAGCTGTCCTATCGGGATCCCCGTGAGCGAAACGGAAGACCGTCTCTCTCCACTTTTTTCCTGGCACCACCCTCGCCGCGCCGTCCGGTCCGCTGAGGGCGTCCCGGGTCGCTGGACCTCAGATGCTGGACGAGCGCTGCAGCCGGGAGCCGCGTGAGGCCGAAGGAGGCCCGGAGCGCAGCCATGGTGAGCGCCCGGGTGCGGGGCTGGCGGCCGCTCAGGTCGCGGGGACCGCGGCGGAGCCTCTGCAGCTGCGCGCGGGCTCCCCGAGGACGCGGTGGCCGGGTTGGGGCCGCGGCGGGGCGACGCGCGCCCGCTTTGTTTCCCTGCCTTTCCGGTTCATGGGAAGCCGTTTCTAAAATCCACGATTTTGTCCCCATCCGATGACTGTCAGTTGCGATCCTTCAGTTCCCAGGTCCTCCCCACACTGCCAAATTTACCTGACCGGGCGACCCCCGGTCCTCTGAGAAACACGGAATGGAGACGTGTGGCCGTCTGTGATGCACTGGGACTATTTCTGAGTTCTCTGCGCTTCCATTGGACCTTGCGTATTTATGCAGTATTCTGTAGGGTTCTGTTCTGTTCTGTTCCGTTCTCTTTCGTTTGTTCTCTCACCTGCAGTGTGTTTTGAAGTCAGGTAATAGGAAACATGGAGCCTTGGGGATTGTTTCTGAACCCGGGTTTGGTGGCGCATGCCTTTAATCGCAGCACTCGGAATGCAGAGGCGGGCGGTTTGTCTTGGACATTTTAGTTTGTCTATTCATGACTTCCTGACAATGTGTCTCTGGGAGATAGTTCATTATCCACTAGGAGAAAATGTATTGGGCATTGCCTGTTGATTTTGTACCCTCCTGCCTTCCTAAATAGTTTATAATCTCAAAGGGCCTTTTTGGTGTTTTGTTGTCGGTGGTGGTTGGTTGGTTGGTTGGTTGGTTGGTTTGTTAGTTTCTTGAGACAGGGTTTCTCTGGTCCTGGAACTAGCTCTTGTATACCGGGCTTTAGACCAGACTGGCCTCGAACTCACAGAGATCTGTCTGCCTCTGCCTCCCGAGTGCTTTTTATAAAAAGACATTTATTTTTTTGAGTGCTCTATCTGCATGTATGACTTTTATGCCAGGAGAGGGCATCAGATCCCACTATAGATAGCTGTGAACCACCATGTGGTTACTGGAAATTGAACTCCGGACCTCTGGAAGAGCAGCCAGTACTCTTAACCAGGGCCTGGTGTAATCTTTTGATCTGTTTGTAGTTTTGCTGGATATGTTGCTTTTTACACAGAGAATATAACTGTGTACCCCAGGACTCTAAATCCTCTATCTTAGCCTCCCATGTACTGTGATTCCTGGTGTATACTATAGTACCTGGTTATGGTTTTCTGTGTATTCAAACAGGAATAGTTTGACTTCCTTTCTGATTCATATACTGTTATTTCTTTTATTTGCATAATTGCTCTGGCTAATTTAGTACTATATTCAAGAAGAGTCATGAGTAGTAACCTAGTAATTTTTTCTGATCGTTGAGAAAATGCTTTGTGTTTTTTTCCCTTAGCATGTTGTTACTAGTCATGTGTTTGTCATGAAAACCTTTATTATCTTAATGTATGCTTTCCGTTTCTACTAGATTCTGAGCTTTGAGCATGATGTGGAATAGAACATTATCAAAGGCTCTCTTGCTTCTAATGTCTATTAGCTTTTTAATTCTTGATTCTGTATGGCAATCTACTTCTGCAAATCTAAAGGAAACTTTACACATTGAAAGATACTTGACTATGATTTGTCAAAACACTTGACTATCATCATTCCCATTTCAGTGTATAATTTGATTCTTCACGGGAAAGGGAAATGTGTGCATGTTTCCAAGTCAATATTAATTTGTCCTGGAATGTATTAAGCAAGTTGATTTCTGCCATTAATGTGTGTACTGGCTCATTTTATGTCAGCTTAATACCAGCTACAGTCATATTGGAAGTGGGACCCTCAACTGAGAAAATACCTCCATCATGTTGGCCTGTGGGCAAGCCTGTGCTACATTTTCTTGATTGATACAGGAGGACCCATATTACTGAAATTTTTGAGAATTTATTATATGCATTCAATGTATTATTATCATATTTACTCTCGCTTCTCCTAACTCCAGATTTATCCCCAGTCCCTACCTCTTCCCAATTTCCTGTCCGGCTTAGTCTCCCTTTCAACATTAGATTATATTTGGTAAAGGTTTCTTTTCATCTATTTGTATTATCATATTTTCATTCTACAAAACAATTAGCTTTATTTCCTAGAATAGTTTCACAACCACAGGTCTTACAAGTCTCCAGCACATGGTGTGTGCATCATGCATAATTTTTTAGGTGAGAACTAGGGATCAAAATTAGGCCTTTTTGCTAATCTGTCTTCTTGGCCCTGGGTTTCTTAATATTTTTTCCAGATTAAACATTTTGAAAGTTGACAGTTTTCATCTGATACAATGTAAGAAAGCATTTCACAGTATATTTGGGTTGGGGGGGTATTGTTTTTGTTAGTTTGGTTAGTTGCTTTGAGTGTGTGTGTGTGTGTGTGTGTGTGTGTGTGTTTGGATTTGCTAATGCTTTATCACCTAATATGTGATGTGTTTTGGAAAATATTCCATCTGATGCTGAGAAGAATGTGTGTTCTGCAGTTGTTAATGGACTGTTCTGTAAATGCTGTTAAGGGCATTTGATCTATGGTGCAGTTTAATGCTGAAGTTCCTTGGTTGATTTTTCTTCTGGGTGACCTATTTGTGATATCAGGGTATTGACACCACAAGTTGTTATTTTGTCTAAACCCTTTTGCCCAGTGCTGTTTGTCTATAAGATACTCAGTTCATATATATTTACATGGGACATTCTTTATGGACTTCCTCTTTACTTATATGTAGGGATGTTCTGATAAAGGAAATTCTGGGTTAGTAGTCAACTGGATAAAGATGTGTTGAGAAATAATTATATTTTCTAAATATATCTGTCAGTAAGCCTCTTCTAACAATGCCATTCCCCTCGTTTCTATTTCTCTTAGCCTTTTTGAGGAAAAACTAAAGTCTTTTCACATTATCATAGTAGATTATCCTTCATAGGGCTTTCAAACTATTTGATTGCCAATAAGATGTCAAGTACAAGACTTCTCAAGTTTTGTCGTGCAAACAAAGATGTGCAACTTCTTAAGGAAGAAGTTGAGAGATGAAGTGTTTGTTCTGTATTATCCGTCAGACCAGCTCCTTGGGAACTAATCCTCCAGAGCATATTTTCATTCTGATCAAGTAGGATCCTTCTGATAAGCATGTCAGAAGCTTGTGGACATTTAGAGGGACAGTGGGAGCTAAACAAGTAGCATATTGCTGTCTTAAACTAGAACAGTGAGCCCCTTTCCACAGGTAGGCTAGTGAGGTCCATCTGAAATGCCAGTATCCAGACCCCAGGGAAAGTTGAAAATATATCTTTTTTATATGTATGCTTACAGATGTTTAAACAAGTACACACAGGCATGTGTATACTTATGCATGCGGAGGTTAGAGAACAGCCTTGGGTCACCTCTTGGAAATGACCTTTTGAGAAAGGACCTTCTTTTGCCTGAAGCTTACCAAGTGTACGAGACTGCCTGGCCAGTGTGCACCAGGGAGCCACCTGTATTCATCTGTAATCTCCAGTGCTGTGTTCCACCATGTCCAGCATTTTATGTGTACTTGTGGGGGTTCAAACTCAGGCCCTCATGCTTGAGAGTCAAGCACTGTTCCAAGCCCTGTCTAAGAATAGTCTCCATATAGCTGGTGTTAAGTCTATTATGGATACGACTAGTAAGATATTTTAAGACAGAACCTCACTATGTAAGGCTGACCTCAAGGAGACCTGCCTGCCTTTGCCTTCCAAGTGCTGGGAATAAGGCATGTACTGCTATGCCTGGCCTAGTAGGATTTTTATGAGAGGTGTAAAGAACCATTAAACAGACTTTCTGGATGACCAAACAGCATACCAGGCATCTGCTTTTCCTTCATAATATAGTTTCAGTGTAGCATTGGAATGATATTGTTAGAGTGTGGGCATTGACCAGAATACTGATGTTTACCTGGGTTTAACAGTTAGACAGTACACCATTCTGTAAACACTGTGCACATGAGCAGAGTGCTCCAGTATGTCTCACCCCTCCTCATTTTTCAGGGGTCTGTATCCTTCGAGGATGTGGCTGTGAACTTCACCTCAGAGGAGTGGGCTTTACTGAATTCTTCCCAAAAGAAGCTGCACAGAGATGTGATGCAGGAAACCTTCAGGAACCTGGCTGCCGTAGGTAAGGTGGAAATCATTGCCTCGTTTAGTCCACGAGAATCAGATCAGTGTTTGCTGATCAGTGCAGCTTCATGATTCGTACAGAAACAGAAATTTTGATGAATAAACCAGTCATGGTCATGTTGTATCAGGAGCCTAATTAAAATCTAATACTTTCCTATAGTGCTGGATTAATTCAAAGTGATTTTTCTGGGTCTCCATTCCAGCAAAAAAGCAGGAAGATCAGACCCTTGAAGAGGATTATGAAAATTTAAGGAAAATTCTTCCCACTGAAGTTCAGACTGGATACAAACTATGTGAGAATCAAGAATATGCCAAGAAACCAGGCACTTATAAGGACTGTGGGAAAGTCTATAGTTCTCCCCAGTGCTTTCTGGAACATCTGAAGACTCACACAGAAGAGGAACCTTACAAATGTAAGCAAACTGAGGACTGTTTTAGTGGACACCGTGATGTTCATGACCCTGAAGGAATGCATGCTAAAGAAAAACTTTGTGTTTTAAAGCAGAGTGGGAAAGATTTTTTGACTCTTGCTGGTATCCAACAGCATGTAACACATGATGGACATGGGCCATATATATGTAAAGTATGTGGTAAAGCCTTTCACTCTTCTGGTTCTTTCTTGACACACGAAAGAACACATACTGGAGACCAGCTTTATACATGTAAGCAGTGTGGTAAGACCTTCACTTATTCCAGTGGCCTTCGCCGCCATGAAAGGACCCATAGTGGAGAGAAACCCTATAAATGCAAGCAATTTCTGAAAGTCTTTCCTTCTTTGAGTAAGGTTGAGGGTCATGAACAGACTCATAATGGAGTAGAATACATATGTAATCAATGTGGGGTAGCCTTCAGTGATCACAGTTCCCTTCAATGTCATGAAAAGATTCACAATTTGGAGAAACCCTATGTATACAAGCAATGTGGAAAAGCATTTACTTGTTCTAGTGCCTTGCGAAGACATGAACGAATTCATACTGGGGTGAAACCCTATGAATGTAAGGTATGTGGGAAAGCCTTCATTGATTGCAGTTCTCTTCAATGTCATGAAAGGATTCATAGTGGAGAGAAACCTTATGTGTGTAAGCTGTGTGGAAAAGCGTTCAGTCGCCAAGGTTCTCTTAAATGCCATGAAAGGATTCATAGTGGAGAGAAGCCCTATGCATGCAAGCAATGTGGGAAAAACTTCATGCATCACAATGCTCTTAGATACCACGAACAGATTCACAGTGGAGAGAAATCCTATGGGTGCAAGCAATGTGGGAAAGCCTTTGTGTTGAGCAGCGCATTGAAAAAATATGAACGAATTCACAGTGGATTGAAACCTTGTTTGTGCAGGGTGTGTGGAAAAGCCTTCACGTTTCATAGTTCCCTTCATTGCCATGAAAGGACTCACACCGGAGAGAAACCCTATGTATGTAAACAGTGTGGGAAAGCCTTTATGTATCACAGTTCTTTCCGTTGCCATGAAAATATTCACAGTGGGGGGCTGGAGAGATGGTCAGCGGTTGGGAGCATTGCCTGCTCTTCCAACTTCCAAGGGTCCTGGGTTCAATTCCCGGCGGCCACGTGGTGGCTCACGGCCATCTGTGGTGAGGTCTGGTGCCCTCTTCTGGCCTGCAGGCATACATGTAGAAGGAGTGTTGTATACATAATAAATAAATAAATATTTTTTTTTTTAAAAAGAAAATATTCACAGTGCAAGCTGTGTGTAAGCTGTGTGGGACAGCCTTCACTTTTCACAGTTCACTTCAGCGCCATGAGAGAATACACAGGGGAGAGAAACCCTATGTATGTAAGTTCTGTGGGAAAGCCTTCACTGATCACAGTTCCCTTCGATGCCATGAGAGAATTCACACTGGAGAGAAACCCTATGTGTGTAAACAGTGTGGAAAATCCTACAGTACTCATGGTTCTCTTTGATACCATGAAAGGATGCACTGTGTGTAAACTACATTGGAAGACGTTCTCCTCTTTGAATAAGTTTCAATTAACTAAAAAACCAAATATATGGTTATAAGCAATGTGAATAGCCTTAACATGTTCTGGTTCCTGTCAAAAAACATGGGTGGAGACACATTGGAGAGTATCTCTAGATATATAATAAAGGGAGCTCCTTTATTGCCAGCTTTTTCTAGCAAGCATGATGGCTTAATGAATTTAACCTGTATTAATGTAAAGATGTGGGATTATCTCCTCTTGCTTCTGTTCAGTTTCCAAAAAAAAAAAAAAAACACTAAGGGGATGGGGAGATGGCTCTGTCTATATCGTTCCAGCCACAGAAGTGTGGGTCTTGAGTTTAAATCCTCACTACCCATATAAAAGCCAGACATGGTGGCACATGCCTATAATCCCAGTGCAAGGGAGGAAGAGACAGAATATCCCTGAGCTTTCTGGTTAGCTAGTCTCAAATCTGTTCAGGTTCAGTGAGAGATCTTTCAAAAAGTAAAGTGGAGAATGATTAAGGAAGACTTCCAACATTAACATCAACCTCTAGCCTCCCCTTGCAAGTATAATGTGAGCCACACACATGAACACTCATTCTCACATGAATGCACACCACACACACAAAGAACACAGTGATGAGAAGAAATCTATAAGTCTTCACTTGGCCAGCACATACACAATCAAAACCTTGTAAGTAGAATCGTCATTTGTAGCATGTGTCAGAGGCTGATGTAGAAGGATTCTATTAACAGAACTAATGTGAAGAGCCTAGCATAAAATAATGGATGGACTGCTTTAGAAATTGCACACTTCAAAGGAAATGTTGTAATGTTGATAAATGTTTGTCAATGGCACATTCTTAGGTGGATCTAAATTATGTGCTTCTAATTTTATTCTTGAAAGTAAATGTTTAAGTGAAGTTATTGCTAAGGTTTACTTAGTTGCATGTACTTAATCTATAGTTTCAGTATTGGCAATTCACTTAATAACTTTTTGTTTTTTAATTTAAAATGTTGAAATGTCTTTTTATTTTTTTTATTTATTTATTTTTTTTTTAAATAATTTTTTTTATTAAGAAAAGAAGAAAAAAAAACATAAACAAAAAACAAGTTTCCACCTCCTCCCAGCCTCCCATTTCCCTCCCCCTCCTCCCACCCTTCTCCCCCTCCTCCCACCCTTCTACCCCTCCCCCCACTCCTCTCCCCCTCCCTCTCCAGTCCACAGAGCAGTCCAGGTTCCCTGCCCTGTGGTAAGTCCTAGGTCCTCCCCCCTCCGTCCATATCTAGGAAGGTGAACATCCAAACTGGCTAGGCTTCCACAAAGCCAGCACATTAAGTAGGATCAAAACCCCGTGCCATTGTCCTTGGCGTCTCATCAGCCCTCATTGTTCGCCATGTTCAGAGAGTCCGGTTTTATCCCATGCTTTTTCGGTCACAGTCCAGCTGGCCTTGGTGGGCTCCCAGTAGATCAGCTCCACTGTCTCAGTGGGTGGGTGCACGCCTCGTGGTCCCGACTTCTTTGCTCATGTTCTCCCTCCTTCTGCTCCTCATTGGGACCTTGGGAGCTCAGTCCAGTGCTCCAGTGTGGGTCTGTCTCTGTCTCCATCCATCACCAGATGAAGGTTCTATGATGATATGCAAGATATTCGTCAGTATTGCTCTCGGATAGGGTCATTTCAGGTTCCCAATCCTCAGCTGCCCAAGGAACTAACTGGGAACCTCATGTTGGGCACTTGGGAGCCCCTCTAGGGTCAAATCTCTTGCTCACCCTAAAGTGGTTCCCTTAACTAAGAATTGTGGTTCCGTGCTCCCCTATCCACCTTTCCTTTATCCCAATTCTCCTGATTCCCCAAATCCCCCCTCCTTCCCTTCTACCTTTTCTCTCCCCATCTCCCCTTACCCCCATCCCACCCCACCCCCAAGATCCTAATTTTCTCCCCGGCAATTGGGTCTACTTCCCTTAGCCAAGAGGATAACTATATGTTTTTCCTTGGGTTCACCTTCTTACTTAGCTTCTTTAGGTTCACCTATTGTAGACTCCGTGGCGCTAATTTATGGCTAGAAACCAATTATGAGCGAGTACATCCCATGTTCATCTTTTTGGGTCTGGGACACCTCACTCAGGATAGTGTTTTCTATTTCCATCCATTTGCCTGCAAAATTCGAGAAGTCATTGTTTTTTACCGCAGCGTAGTACTCTAGCGTGTATATATTCCATACTTTCTTCATCCATTCTTCCATTGAAGGGCATCTAGGTTGTTTCCAGGTTCTGGCTATTACAAATAATACAGCTATGAACATAGTTGAACAAATGCTTTTGTCATATGATAGAGCATCTCTTGGGTATATTCCCAGGAGTGGTATTGCTGGGTCCAGGGGTAAGTTGATCCCGAATTTCCTGAGAAACCGAAACACTGACTTCCATAGTGGTTGCACAAGATGGCATTCCCACCAGCAATGGATGAGGGTACCCGTTCCTCCACAGCCTCTCCAGCAAAGGTTATCCTTGGTGTTTTTGACTTTAGCCATTCTGACAGGTGTAAGATGATATCTCAAAGTTGTTTTGATTTGCATTTCCCTGATTGCTAAGGAAGTTGAGCACGACTTTAAGTGTCTTTTGGCCATTTGAACTTCCTCTGCTGAGAATTCTCTGTTCAGTTCAGTGCCCCATTTTTTAATTGGGTTAATTAGCATTTTAAAGTCTAGTTTCTTGAGTTCCTTATATATTTTGGAGATCAGACCTTTGTCTGTTGTGGGGTTGGTGAAGATCTTCTCCCAATCAGTAGGTTGCCTTTGTGTCTTATTGACTATGTCCTTTGCTTTACAGAAGCTTCTCAGTTTAAGTAGGTCCCAATTATTCAATGTTGCCCTTAATGTCTGTGCTTCTGGGGTTATACATAGGAAGCGATCTCCTGTGCCCAGCTCCTGTAGGGTACTTCCCACTTTCTCTTCTATCAGGTTCAGTGTGTTCGGGCTGATATTGAGGTCTTTAATCCATTTGGACTTGAGTTTTGTGCACGGTGATAGATAAGGGTCTATTTTCATTCTTCTACAAGATGACATCCAGTTGTGCCAGCACCATTTGTTGAAGATGCTTTCTTTCTTCCATTTTATACTTTTAGCTCCTTTATCGAAAATCAGGTGTTCATAGGTTTGTGGGATAAAATCCGGGTCTTCTATACGATTCCATTGGTCGACTTCTCTGTTTTTATGCCAGTACCACACTGTTTTCATTACTGTAGCTCTGTAATAGAGTTTGAAGTCAGGGATGGTAATGCCTCCAGAAGATCCTTTATTGTATAGGATTGTTTTGGCTATCCTGGGTTTTTTGTTTTTCCA